CGCAAAGAATGCCACCACGGAGAGGCGGAGAGGTGGAGGTAGATAGAGTGTGCGGCAGAAAAAGAGGCACTTTGAGAATGACAATGCCTGGCAGATGAATTCTGAGGTGATGAATGTCCGCGGTTCAATACCCAGATGAATTTAAGTGCGTTCCATTATGGGAGGGTGGGGGAAAACATGGAGATGGGCTGCACAGATAGGAGTGGGCGAGTGTGTTGGTGAGCTAGCCATGCACACCCCATTGTGAACAAGCCATCTGTAGAAATAAGTAAAGAAGTGATTACAACAGGCCCAGCTCAATTTCTGACAGTTGATGCTTGACTGCCCCTGTAGAGCTGAATTGATTTAAATGAAGAAGCTATGAATATTTTATAGGACCAACCATCCTCTCCCTCCCCTCCCTCCCTCCCTTTCACCTGAACTGTTTTGATCTTCTTTCCACCCGTGTGTGTGTGTGTGTGTCTGTGTGCTTTAATGTGTGTGTGTGTTTATGTGTTGGAGCACACAGTGCAGACCAGGGGGGAAATGTAATTATTGATAGCAAGATTACGACCCTATTGTCACTTTGTCTGCAATCAGCTGCCTTCTTTAAGCCCTGATGAATCAATGACACTGCCGGGATCTTTTTCTGTCCACCCTGCTTTGTTCATCAAAGTGGGCTTTACAGTGTACACTGACCCCTGTTTGTGGACTTATTGTTAAACCAAACGGGTGTGCAGTGCACCGATTGCTGCCTCTGGCTAATTCTCCCTACAAACCAGCCGGTACCCATCAGGGATACTGAACGCCTGTGTGGACAAAAGAAAAAAAAAAAAGAAATAACACTGAACCTCTAATATATGAAAAATGAGAAAACACTCCAATATTCTGCACGCTGGCCCTAAGAGCTAATATGGGATAGCAGTCAGCTACGGCGTGTGCGTGTTGAAAAGCCAGTTGCGCTGCCAGGGCTGGAGGCGACCGGGCCACACCCGTTCATTATACCTCTAAAAAGTGACTGAAACAACAGGCCCTAAAACAGGAGAACACGTATGTTGCTCTTGTTAACCTTCCAGCTGGATGAGCATGCCGCTCTGGGGGCATCTCGTTTTAGTGCGCGATGAATTGCATTAAAGAAAGGGAAGCAACAGCTTTGAAGGTTGGTGGCAAGGTGCCGTTTTGGGAGCGAGTGATGGCAGGTTGTGAAACGCTGCCCCGCGGCCGTTCCCAGGAGAGCGGCTGAACTCGTCTCACCCCGCCGCCGCCGCCGCCGCTGCGAGCATACCTCGATGACAACGTGCGTTATTGATGTTCACCTGAAGGTGAACGCGGGCGGGTTTGCTCTGGACCAACTGAGCTCTCCCTGGCTTTCAGACAAGCGCCTACCGCGGCGTTTTCAGGGTTTTGAGGGCCACTAAATCACTGTCGCCGTCGGCTTTAAAGGGGTTAGGCGGACGCGGCGCGCTGAGGAGTCTGCCTGATGCCTCCCACCACCCCCGGAGAACAGAGGACCTTGCCCCAGTGCTGTCTGTCTATGCAGTCAGGCCCAACAAGCTGTGATTAACAAGGGAAAGAAAACTGTCAGTCCACCGTAGACTTAAGTGCATGTACGCAAGACTGAAAACTGACATTCAGGATTATTCAACGTCTGCAATCTGCATTATGTCAAAGTCACTGGCTGTACTCTAAATTCAAGCGCTAAGTAGCTTTCCTGGAAACCCCCATGTGAGCAGTGTAATAAAATAAATGTTGTGCTTTATGTTCGGCCGTAGAGGATAACCGTTAACCAGACAGTTGAGACGGCAACTGCTCTAACAAAACAACACACAACTTTTGCTCCCGGTTCTCAGCGCGCGCTTGCCAAATAACATCTGCGGTAAAAAAGCCGGGAGGAGGAGACATTTATAGGCCGTGTGCGCGGCTGGTGCCAAATGAACACCTACAGTTCTGCCCGTCTTGGTGCTGCCTGATAGTAAACGGACCTGCGCTAACGGAACGTTATTCCAGCCCAGCTGACCACTCACAGCGCTTTGAATCACATACAATTCACCCACACACACACACACACACACACCAGTGGATGCACTGGTAGGCAACGTGGGGTTCAGAGCCTGGCCCCAGGACTCTTCAACATGTGGCCAGGACGGACACGCTCTGCCCTCCTGAGCCACAGCTGCCCTGCTGACCTGTGTGACTACCTCTAAGAAAACCACAAATAAGAAGAGAAAAAAGAAGAAAAAGATTCAAATAAAATGAGTCCATGTTTTACCCCCAAAAAAAGCTCAAACTTCCCTTCATGAGAGACGTATAATACACACCGATCTCATCAACAGCACTGAAAGGAGCATCCTGCTTTAACAGCCCATTGCACCAAAAAACAATAAAGCGCCATCTGCTTTTTCATGGGCCTCATCTCCTGCAAGGCAGAAGGACTTCCGTGCTTAAATAGCACATGAGTCAGATTAGGCTGGCCGTCACTCGGCTGGCAGACAGACACACATCGCTCACGCAGCCCACTCTGCATCCTTTAACTTCAGGAGACAAACTAGCTAAAGCTCGTCCCCGCTTTTTTGCTTCGTCTTCGCTTTATGGAAATCCCTGCCGATTGCTCTCCTTCATACTGACGACAGGCTGAGAAAAACAGGGGAAAAAAAAAAATGGAACAAAAAGCCTATGGACTGCTGAGCATTTGAGCCCCTGATGCAATCCCTCTTCACTTCAACCCCCTCTTTTTTGTGTGTGTGTGTGTGTGAGACAGTCATGTGAACAAGGTCACGCACATTCTTTCATGCCTCGGACTGTTGTAAGGATTGTGACAGGGAGTCTGTGAAAAATCAAGAGCGTTTCGTTCGGGAGGCTCAGGACTTTTTTCGACATAGACGCTCATAATCGCTGCTCTGAATATAACCAAATTACAAGCAGCCTGCTCACACTGCCTCAGACGGCGAAGCTGTGACGACAGCGGTGGTGGAGGGGGGGGGGGGGGAGAGGAGGAGGTATCTTTAAAGAACTAATAACATCAGGGATGAAGCATCTGCAGGGTCTGGATTTACGCCCAGCCCCTTAATGGGTCCAGAAGGCCATTTTAGGCCAGATTCACTTCAGCAAAGATGTCACTGGGTGCACTTTTAGAGCCAGGGAGCTCCTCTGTAAAGCCTATAATGAATAGTTAGATCCAATGCGGAGAGGCAGAAAAAACAGAGGCCCAAAAAAAGAAAAGAACTGAGGGGGTACCACAAAAAAAAGAAGAAAGAAAAACAGTTTACCAGCAATTCATTTCTATACACTTGAGCAGAACAAGATAGCATGATACCAGGAGAGTGATCTGTATGACCTTTGTATACTTTAAAAGCAAAAAACTAAATAAGAAAACCCTTCTCGGTTTGGACTTGGGCTACCTGGGAGCTAGAAAGAAGAAATCTTACTCTGTTGTCTGTTTGGTCTCTATCCCCATGATCCAATAAGCCTATGAGCCACGTGAAGACACTAAAGGATAATGTGCCTCTGCAGTCCCCCATCAACATCCCGCCGCCGTGCATTCAATTTTTTATTGCATCCAAGCAGTAAGGCAGAGAGCAGCCATGCAACCCCCACCTAAACACACGCGCATACGCCAGCATGCGACTCCCTCTTTGAGGAAAACAATGTGGAGATGAGGGATCAGAGGTCTTTTCCTGGGCCAAACCCCCACAGTCTCCCTCAGACGGGCTCACATGGTTTGAATCAATGCTGCCACTAGAACTGTTTAGCGGACCAGCTCGATAAATACTATCAAGCTCGCTGGCTATCTGCTTCAGGAGGCATATTTGTCCCCTGTAAGTCAGAGGGGGTAATTCTAATCTCATCTGACTTGGACAAACAGTGACAGAGGGGGGACGGAGGCAGACTAAAACACAAACAGAAAAAACGGCTCGGGCTGCTTTTGTTATTGCCGCCGAACATCAGAAATTCCTGTCTAAATTTCCCCCTTTGTCGCACGTTTCTATAGTCTTGAGGCGAAAAAGGAAATTGGCCCTTGAGAGCCTGTGGAGATTCCTGCCTTTTTTACGCTCCCACCGCAGCGTAAGACAACAGAACTATCCGCTCCATAAAGGCCTCCGCGGGCTTCGTGTGGTGCAGCCCCTTTGAGGCAAAAGAATGAGGAAGGCCTCTGTAATGCTCTGTTGTTGTAATAAAACTCTCTCCTTTTTTGCTGCAAATGCATCGGTAAAACGACATCTCCCCCCCCCCCCGCAGCTGCTGGCGGCTGCTCAACGTGCAAAAACTAAACACATGTAGGAAGAAAAGGGAAATAGGAGAGACTCCCAGTTATTACGAAAGCAGCGTAAATTATTTAGATGTTATTTATAGAGCCGGCAGCGACTGTCGGCCTGACTTCTGGGCACATGATCTTACTCTCATTTCGTGTTGCATTTTGCATGAATTTTTAGTCCAACTCCTGCTGAGGTATGTACCCGGAACGTTAACCTGTGAAATTATTCATGTGGGCAAACTACTCCCGATTGTTTGGCGGAGCTGAACGCAATGGACTAGATGGGAGGAGGAGCAAATAATGTCAGGCCTAAAAAATATCAAACGCAAAATGAAAAAAAGAAGGTGCCCAGATTGCTGCCCAGGAGCAGTGGGTGCAGCCACACTCACTGGAGGTGACTGGAGGGAAGGCCAGAGCCCATCAGGCCTCCAAAACACGCTCCTGGACCTGCTTATTTAAACCAGGCTGAAGCGTTCAGGTGAGGTGGTCTGGACCTGAGAGCATCGGTCTAGCTGGGGTTAGAAAAACGTGCACACCTCGGGCGCGTTCTGAGACAGACAGAGGTGGGAGGACGAAACTGGGTCAAGTATATGGATCGCAGTAAGGAGGCTTGCAGATGGTGTCAACATGGAACGCCGTTACGCGGAAACGCACACAGGCAGGCGCAGACTATTTTAGCTGCCAACCCAAAAATAACAGCAATAATAACACAAACGGGCCGACTTTAAATTCCCCAGAATAGTGGGATAAAGTTGGAGGGGGCACCTACAGTGATTGGAGCCGTTCCAGTGCTGGTTTCGGATGGACGTGCTGTAGGGATGGGGCGCTCCGGGCACCAGTCCTTTCTCCGGGATCAGGCACCCCCGGCTCTGGTTGTAGTAATCCATCATTAAAAAGGGGTTCGGGCTGGGGTTCAGTCCCACAACGTCCACGCTCTCGTACATCATCCGCGGCAGGGGGGGGGGGGGGGGGGGCCGGGGGGGGGGGGGGTGGGCGGGGCGCACGCACGGAGAGCCGAGCCGAGGGGTTCGCTGCTGGCCACCGGCACAATCTGGGGGGGCCGAACGGAGGGGCAACGGCATCAAAATCGTGGGCGAAGTGATAGATCCAAAGACGGCCGGGACATCTGAACATTTGGCATCTTTCTTTTTTTTTGTCGGGACCGAGCGGAACGCGAACAGCGCAGCGTGTGTGTGTGTGTGTGTGTGCGCGGCACAGCCTAATCGGCTTCGCTCAATTTGGAAACATTATTGAAAAGAAAACAGTCTGCATTGTGTTCCGGCGCGAGGAATACGACACACAAAAACACACGCACACAACGGGAAAATAAAATGGAACCACCGGGGGAAACTTCAGCAGAATGGGTCGCTCCGGTCGGCCTCGCTCGGAACGCGGAGCGACATTTGAGGCTCGATCTGCTGAACCGGGATGGAAACGAAAGGGAAATCCAGAAAAAATCGGGATGCAAGTCTCCTCTGTCCGCGGCGAGCGAAGGCAGCACGCGGAAATTATGGACGCGATCGGGGGGTGGTGTAAATATCACAGGGGGATTTGTAGTTCGTCCTTCGGGGTCCCGGTTGTCCCGTTAGCGTCCCATCGGTGGGGGGGGGGGGGGGGGGGGGGGGGGGGGGGGGTTGTCTCCGTCCGTTTGGGGGGGCTGCGCCGAGACCGGCCGCTTGCTTGGGGTCAGACGCGGAGCTCCGAGCGTCCAGGAGCTGCTGGTCAGCGCTGGTCAGAGAGACGTGGATCCGTTCCCACAGAGATCCGCGCGGCTGTCGCGTCCTGCGGAGCTGTGACACGGCGCAGCAGCTGAGGGGCTTTGGCTCCACCTCCGCCGGGCTCTTTTGCTTTTTTTTCC